TCAAAGCGGCTGGAAAATCAGTCACACTCTTCACAACGTTTTGCACTGGTGGCGTCTGTCTTGTCAGGCTGTCCAAGCACCGTATGGCCGGCAGTATGGCATCCATCTGTCAAAGCGGTCACAAAATGTCAACTATTCGTATAAAAACCTAAGCCACAACTTGTGTGTTTTCAAATTATTTCTTTACAAGCCGAACTTGTTTAATCAACAAAGCTGCCCGTCGAGCTCAGATTATCTGTTTTCTGACGTCGCCTCATGGACACAGAAGGCGTATCGCTTTTCTGTGTTAACATTATTTGCAAGCAACTTTAAAACTACGATTTAAAAAAGAAAAGCACACACTAAGCTAATCCAAATTCTGCGTCTTTCGCGCTACAGAAAAAAACATCTTATTAAAATAACCCAGATTTTGCCGAAAGTACGATCTACGTCACTATCTACTTACTCCTTCCTGAAGATACAGGAAAGACAGTAATGCCGCCGCTGACCGCAGAGCTCCGTTCGCCTGGGTCAGGAGCTGCAGCCTATCCGGTTCGTGAGTAACTGCAAACTTCCGTCCACCCAGATATGCTGATAGCATCGTATAGCAGAGATCCCTGAATGTGAATAATAAACTGAAATGGGATATGTACGAATCCAGCGATTGGACATCGTGACGCAGCGCCATGTATTGATTTAACGCTCCAGTTACTGAATCGCTCCGCGCACACCGGATTTCCCGAACAACTGTTCTGGCCAAAAATCCTAATACACCGGTTGTGAAAACTATCAATCCGTGGAACAAGCGTGTGCCTATAACCGCAATATGCCATAATGAGCCAGATAAGCCAATAGCGATTTTGGACATATCTCTTCCGATGAAGGCATTCTGGCAGACGGGGATGTCTGTCGCCAGTAATAGAACTAGGGGAACGCCGCATTGCAAGAATGACCATATCATAGCTAATCCAATAATTGCCGCCGTTGTTGTCCTATTGAGACGCTGGCTGAGCTGCTGCCAGTTGTCAAAGCTCGTTGCCAGTTTAGAAAGCATAATTTCTGCTTTTCGGCACAGGATTACACTGTACACCATTATGGCCGAGTCCAGAATACTAGCCGTAAATAAAATGACCTCGGTAAATGTGTTGAATGTATATTCGCTGAAAACGCCCCACAGTATGATCATGTGGGCTGGTACAATGCAGAATGCTATTGATATGCCCAGTGTTTCAAGCATCCGAAGTCCAAACGATGATGATGGCACGAGTCTGGTGGGGAACGTGGCGAATCCCAATCCACACAACACCATTATCCAGATCCGGAAAATGTTCGTAAAAAACGCCATCACTGAAAATACCCAAACCGTTTTACATTAAAACGTCGGTAAAAATATGAATTCAAATTTACGTAGAGTGCAAATTGTGTGGCGCGGCGCGTCGAAGTATGGAATTCGGCGTAACCCGTGAATTTGTATTAATCGCTGGGTTGATGCAGTTGAAATTACGGGTCAAGCTTGAACAAATACAACAGTAGAAATGCTTCTAACGCCGAAGGTGAATTTCGTTGGCAAACAGCGTGAAATCTGCCGTGGATCGGCGCAATGCAGCAGTAGGAGATACTGCACGTCTGAAACTTTAAAACCGCAGAGAGAACATTTACCAGAAATGATACACTGCAGATACCGATATGGGAGCTTTTAACCAAAGTTTGCTTTACAACTGATCCGGCCTGCCAAGTTGCACCAGAGAGGGTTCAGGTAACGGAACCAGCCCACCCCTCGACGATCGTCGATCGATATGTAACTTTTACCGGAGATTTGAAAACAGCGGCAATGACAAACGGGCGTGAACTAATTGTTTATCTTACAGCATTTAAGATGTAAGGCCGATGTTTCAGTTCTAAGAACGAACAAGAAAATCTAAAACTAATGACCTTTACAACAGACAGCATTTTGTTCTCGGCAGTCTTTGTATTATGTGCAAGCTCATACTTATCACGTGCACATTTTCTTAAAGTGCTGCCTTTGAATCTAAAACGCTGGTCTTTGCATAATACACTTAATGCTTATCGAGCTAGCTCGCCGATCGCTTCTTGCAGCTTCTGATGCCGGGACAATTGCTTTTCTGCTTGCGCGGAACATGGTTTGCTTGCTCGCGGAAGGAAAGAATTCTCTCGCTCGGCGTTAATCTCATATAACATTTGGCCGTTAAATGCTGTTAAAGCGCATGGAAATGCTTGGCCAGGGTCAAAAAGAGGTAGGGAATGTTAAAGGGAGGGATTTTCTTTGGTGAAAACGAGGAAGGGAAAACTAAAGGGAGGGATTCTGAGCGGTCGAAAAGAGGGAGGGAAAACTAAAGGAAGGGAATTTTAGCGGTCGAAAAGACGGAGAAAGTAAAGGAAGGGATTTCGAGCGGTCGAAAGAGGGAAGGAATTTGTCTGGTCAAAACGAAAAGCCTAGTCAAGTGTTTGAAAACAAGTAGGTATCTGTATAACAGGGAAATTCTGGCACCACCATTCGGAAAATGGAACCTATTTACAGTACAGTGAACACAGTTATTCGAATTTTGTGCGAGTGCACACTGCACAATAATATTGTGCAGAAGTGGCGTTTTACTTGATTTTATTCGTGATTTTACAGCCATTGCACCATCTGTGAACCCTCCAGTTATCAAGTGACAACTTAACAGAAGCGCGCGTGCGGTGGCCCATGCCACAGGCTGTTTTAACGTAAATCTATGAAAATTCATAACTTTGTTCATTCCCGCATTAAATTTTTAAATATAGTCTTGAAAAATGCAGAATAATACACAGCATTAGACAGCTGTGGTCTCTGGTGGAATGTTGAAAACAGTCGAAACGGGTTAACATACATACAACCATACTTATGTACAGATATTTCTGTAGGTGTAAAGTTTCCGAGAAAAACGAAGTTTACAGAAATAATTGAACTCTAACAGTACAAACTTTGCTTATGAATTTCCAAGCATAAACATGAATAAAGTTCCATAAAACAAAGCAAGATAAACAAACGGGAACTGGACCGGGAACCATGCAAAGGTACCGGCCTTCCACGTAAACAAATTTAAATTTCGATATGTTTTTATAACTGGATAATAATAAAACGGAGGTAAAAAAGCCACATTGTGCGAATAACGGTTATTCATGTAGCGGGCCACAGGAGAGGTGATGCCGTTGCATCACCGCCGACCGGTAACCAAAATATGAAAAAACGTATGCAGTACTTTATTTTTAAAAGGAACAGAATATACGCAAAATCGCGGTAATTTCACAATAATATTAGTCTGAAGTATTGCATAAGTAATACTTCAATAGTTAATTAATACTACATAATTAATGATGTGTACAGCAACTGCGCAGCAGGTAGAATGACAGAAAGTGCAGCAGAAAGAAGTAAGTAGTAAAACAGTAGTTGCAAGGAGAGCAACGTACACGACAATTAGTGTTATGCGGTCTGGTAATTTGTAATACTGTACATTTCTTGTCCGTGATCGTCTGCATGCAAACCTGCGTAAATCTTACCAGGGAAATTTCGCTGCGGTTCTTACGGGTTTGTAACAATTGTTACTAGTCCGCAGTCGACTGAACTATTAACGGAAATATCGTGCACGACTTGCACACGACCGCAGACGACTATCTGTGCAACACGATTGTCAAAATTCAGTGTCCCTTATTTTTTTCGTATTCTGTATTAAAAGTTATAGTTATTTTGTGATAATTGTGCAAAAATCGCTTGGACGGGCCCAGAGGCTGCAAATTCCGGTGAGTATCAGCTACCAGTGGGCACGTGTGTCATATAAAATTATATTTACCGAACGCATTGTTTTTTATTATTATTTCCGCTCGGGACAGCAGCAAACAACCAGCTAAATACTCATACGTATTCTCATTCATACGTATACGTACTCTCATAAATACTCATTCATTTACCACTTTTTAAGGCATACTGGACATCAGACATTACTCACATTCGCGAGAATACACATCACTGCACAGTTTGCACTTGTACGTACGTGTACTTGCACTGTATTGTACACTACAGCGTGCGAATGGTGTGGTCATCAATTCCCACCAGACTTATTGCTCTGTACTTAGCATACCCCGAGAAAATTAATCATTAGCATTAAGTATTTCCTTGGGTGAGCGCAGTCAGTATAATGCTGAATTCTGAAGAAAACTAAAACAAATCGCACCAATTAGAGCCGCAACAAACATTGGATGGTATAGAAACACATGACCGAGTATCCCGAGGTATGTAAACTGGTGTTGAAAAGCAGCGGCGTAGGCCGGAAATTACGAAAAGGCCATAATATGATCGGCGATTCCGTGGCGATAAGCCGGCTAGTTAAATGAATGACTCGGCCAGTCTTTGGCCATAAACCGGAAGCAACTGTGCACGCTACAGTAACTCGTGCACAGCAAGTATAAACTGTAAAGCACATACACACGTGCTCCTGATATAAACAAGTTGATCTTTTAACTGTTAACCGTTTCGGACCGGTCACCTCACGATGTTTGTTGATTTGGTAGGCAGCTTCAGAATGCAGCGTGGCATGTATTGTATCATTTGTATGATGAATAATCTACGTATTACCTCATCTTTAACCTCTGCGCCACAAAATAAGGCACGAGCACGTCTTCATGTTTTTGCATGCGAGCAGTGCAACCAGCCGTATGCAAACGTACGGCAAAATTAACAGCGCAACCTGTGTAAACTGGTATGAAAATTTAAGCCGTGTGCTTCATTGCCTTGTAGCTTGTCTACTGTACATTACTGGGAAACGGGGAAATGTGTGGCGTTGTGCAGCTTCTGTTTGCGACATATCATCATAGAAGTACCAAGTACGAACGTTTCAGCTTTTAGGATACTGATCTATTGTGAACGTTAGTTACGTTACCGACAAAATATCCTCATTTAACTCCTGCTTTTAGTTCCGAAACGAATTACAAACACTGAAAGCAAATAAAATGTCAACTACTCTATATGACAACAAAAGCACTGTTAATTCCTCCGCTCCACCATGGCCTCGATTACAGGAACCCCGTTATATTCTCGATTAACGATGGCGTACAAAATCTGGGCACATTTTCAAAACAACAGAAGCATTCGATATTTTATTATAAACATAAATTCAGCACAGAATAAGGATGCTGCATGATGCTGAAAACTGCAGACATATGGTGGAATATGCGAGACAGAAAAAACTAGAGCAATCCACCATTCACGCACCCACCACAAAGCCATGACTCACCCGTATCTTCATTTGAAGTCTTGCAGCTTGGCGTGGTTCATAAACATGAGGGGATCTCTTTTGTAAATCTTCTCGTAGATATAGATGAAGCGGAAGAGCGCCTCCATGGTGTGCGAGTTATCCATCTCCACATGGAATTCATCACCCAGCTCTTTCATCAGAAAGCGGAACGGCTCGATCCCGGCTTTTTCCCGCTGCTGCACCAGCAGCTCCAGGTCGTCGTGGTGCGTGACGGGCGTGACGCCCAGTTGGTGTTTCTTGATGTCGTCGTACACTTTCATGTTGTACACGCGCTTCAAGTGCTTTTCTGGTTCCACACGTCGAACCCCTTTGGAGTCCTCCACCAGGTGAATGATCTGGTCATCAGCTTCTTCCGGTTCGAAATTCCCCCAAAAATCACCGGACATCATGACGATCATGGGATTATTGACACCCAACATACCCAGCGACATGTTGGGATGATAGATGCGGTCGTTGTTGAAGATGATGAGGTCTTTGGGAATCCTGTCGTGGATCATCAAGACCAGCAGTTTCAGCAGTTCCTCCTGTGCCCATCCGTTCAGCCCGATGGAATCCACGAACCCGTCGACATGCTGGATTTTCTTTGTCCCGTCGGAGCGTGAAGCTTCCGGCTTGGGTCCTCGGTTCAACAGCCACAAGAAGGTGCTTTTCCCGGCTCCCTTCGGTCCCACAAGCAGCAGAGAATCCGTCTGACGGATCGGTAATTTTAGACCATTGACAAAGGCGATCTTCTCCTCCCGGTCCTTGGTGGGGCGTTGCAGTTGCTCGGTGACCTTCTGCAGCTCCGCCTGACTGGCTTCCATCGCCTGTCGCAGCTGCAGCAGTTGAGCTTCGTAGCGCTCCTGTTCGACGCGTCGTTTCTGGTCCGCTTGTTTCTGCTGGTCCAGGAAATCTTGCTGCATGCGAGCGCGTTCCGCCGCGTTGGTGTTGTTCAGCCCGTCGATACGCTGCTGCAGGAGATGGCTGTCTTTTTCGCGCCGCTGCTCCTATTGCTTTTCGCGGCGTTCCATCTCCTGCTTCAGGGGACGCGTGATGGCGTCCACATCCACCGCCGGTTTTAATGTCCATACACGCATGATGGATCGGATAGCGTCGATTGCTACGGGAAGTATCACTGCGCCTAATATTTCCATGCAGAGCGTTTGATAGTGAACGCCTGTAGATTTTATTTCCGACTGAAAAGTTAGCGTGGCTGCGCGCGGTCTCACTGGCCCGATCATGCTTGTGAGTTATGACTGTGCCGTAAGCAGGCAGCTCCACTGCGTTCTCTGAATCATCGGCGACGTTAATTGGTCGGGCACACAGCTGATTCACGCGGGGTTTTTCCGTGCACTGGACTTTCTGTATTACTAGCTAACGATATGAAGTCAGCTCGCTATTTTCCAGCTGCACATCAGTTGTTTGTCAATGGGGTCACGTACTAGTTAAAGAAAAACAAACACGGCCTATAACAACTGCAGGTTCCTGTGTGGCCACATGAAATTTTTGGGCAGAGCTATTATGACGCTGTGATACCGACTGCGTTCTCAATAAAGCACATCCTTAATTGATAACGCGTTTCAAGCAGTTTGACAAGGTGTGGATAGTTCGAGAACATTACGCGCAGTGAAATACAAATGTGTGACGGAATGTAAACATAAAGTTATCTTGAACATGTGTTGTCAATTAATGTATTTCGGTAATTAAACACGGCAGCGCGCTTTTTAGTTGTCGTTGTGTTGTAGCGGTTTTCCTCACAGCAGTTAAGGTTACCCCTATTTTGGATTTTCTCAAAAAGGCCAGTTTCTCAAAACTCGCAATCCCACCAACTGTAGTGTGCTCTATCTGGTGGGGAAAGGTGTATAGAAATATAATAACCGGGAGGCGAGATATGAATTTTTAAAGTATTCGACCCAGAGCAGCCAGTACTGTAATTAATGACCGGCCCGGCTTACCATTTTGCATGCCTGTGTATATGCAAGCGATCAGATTTGGACATGCAGCCAAATGAATGGGGAGCACCTGTTTGCGATTGGTATCTTTTGTTTTACTGGGTCATAAAACCGTAGTAAAATGGATGCAGACTCTGAAGACAAAAGACTTTTGATCACACGTGAGTGTAGCTGGGCAGCGCACGATCGGCTGTCTAGTTGGTCTTTCGGGCTATTCCTACGTGGTATGTGTGGTGAACTGAGACTGCCAACATCTTCAAATGAGATTTATCTCTGCATGAACTTTCGAATCCTACAGCTAAAAATCCGGTTAATAGGCTTTGAAAATTACCTAGTCACTAACGGAACAAAGTAGAATTTTGAAATTTTGACAGTGGATGTACAGATATCGTAAAAGTCTAATTGCGACGGCGATTTTGAAAAAAATTGATTTTGCTCGAGTTAATCCCTCTTGGGTCTGTTGTTGGAGAAACATTCATTTGAGTAAGCGCTGGACATTCCCAAAGTACTCGCTTCATGGCGGGCACCAGAGCGCTAGCTGATACATCAACAAACGTGGCGGTTTTCTAGAAAAAAATTTTGCATATTATACTGTTCCATCAATGCCTGCACGCGCAGAGCAAATTCAAATTGTAATTAAAATACCGAGCATTGCCAGTGATAAATTTCTACCTCAATTATCTGCGGCAGTCTTTCGTCTGGTGCAGGCCATATTTGAACTGCCCGCACTGTTTTTCTTAAAACATCGGCACCAAGATCTTTAACCAAGCGTTCTTCAGAGGTGGGACTGTAACTCATGTTTCCGCATAAAAACACTATAATATTATGTACTCGTATAACTAGTAAACTGTGTGGAAAAGTAATGGGACAGAAAAAGTTTCCTCGTTATGCTCCAGTGTGTTTTGCGTGCTTGGATTGCAAACGATTGATAATATCAGTCGTACTAAGTCACACTCCGAATTGTGCAGTTCCAGACTCAACTGTCATAATTAATAAGATCAGTATGTCTCTTCTCGACTGCTTCGTATGCTGAAAGGACAGGAACAGGCAAACCGGAGTTTGTTTGAGTTAACAGCAAAGATTTCAAAATGAAGTACATGTTTGAGTTAACAGCAAAGATTTCACAATGAAGTGCAGTATAAGTACAGTAACAGAGTACGAGTACAGTTTTAGCGGATGCGATGTTACATGTTTTGCTGAGTATAGTCGAAATACGCCGGGTATGACTAACACGCGGGGATAAGAATTTCATAAATAGCTTTGCAAAATTTTTGTTTGCGCTTACGTACACAATACAGACTTTATTAACTGCACATCTCAAAGCAGGGAAACCGTGGGGTACACTGCCCTACGGGGAAAACCTGCAGTCGAACAATCACAACAAACCCATAAAACGGAAACGATTTCATACCAGTACAGGAATTATCGCCAGACCGAACAAACATTTTTTTCCGCTTTGCACACCAAATGAGCAAACTTGTGACACTTTGAACACTTAAAAAAACGCCCGCCTCCTGTTTCACACACCGCGCAAATTTTTGTGACAGCACTGGGCTTGAATGTGTCATTTTGGTGGCGATCAGGAGATTGTTGGCTGCACGACTTCGGGTTGTTCTCTTTTCAGCTGGCGGTTCTGGTTCACTAAGGCCCAGGCTAACTTGGGTCTTATCCAGATCGTCACTTACTTCTGGTGTGCCAATCATCGCCAGCACGGAACCGCTTGTTGCAGTTGGTTCTGTGCTTGGCGAGGAATCTTCTGCATCGCCGATGTGTGCAGCTAAGTCCACGCTTTCAAAAGCAGCGGTCATATCCGAAGGCGAAGCAGGTGCTTCTACGGTGAGGTGCTTGCCGCTCTCGGTCGTTGTAGGTGCCAAAATGCACTGCTGCGATACAATTTAATGAAAGATCGGTTTGTATTAGTATTTGTCGCAATTAGTTACAAATACCTTTTCTCCTGCGTTTCGCACTGTAGCAGCATCCGATAGTTCAACGGTGACCTTTCGAGCTTTCTTGGCGTGAAAGCCACAACGCAGAATTTCCGGGTCATGACTTTGTGATTCTGCTTCTACCGGTGAAAGTAAAATACGTTATTTTAATCTAGTCTTATGCGCGTCTATGCAGCTGTGTATTAGATGTGTAATTCGCTTTTGAACGGACTTTTTGTTGCGACGGTCACGCATTAATATTAACGCACTATATCAATAGTTTAAAACAATAAAAATTGACCAAATAAACGCTAAACAGGCAGTAACATTAATATTAAAACGAAACGTTAACTTAAGAAGTGTTTGCATAATTACTACATATATATTGTAGTGTAGTGTATGTACCCTTAATCACTGTTTTCTGCGTTCCAAGGTTGTGGGTTGGCAGTATGTCTCCGTACATACTGATGCCATGACACAACCCGTTTATGCTGCCTTTTGTGGCTCGTTTCTGCTTGCCATCTTTTTCCCGCAACCAACCGTTGGCTTGAGCGACGCTGATGTCTTTCAGAAGCAGTTTCACTTCCGGATCGGCACAAGCTTCCAAACATTCAAAAATTTGTGTCGTTCTGAGCCCGACACATGATTGCTGTCCAAGCTCTTTGCTGATGATCGTCAAGTGCAAAGCTTTATGCCACTAAAATATCCCAACAGGAAATTATTGCTGTTTTATCCGTAGCTACTTATTTAGTTGCGCTACCGGATGTAATCGTAATCAAAGTTTAATAATTCACGGTGCAAGTTACAGATCCACGAGCTAACTAACCAGGGCCTGGTCACTACAGATTTAGTACTGATAACAAAAAAATTATTTCACCGGCAACGGTCCAGTAGGCGTGGCTAAAAACTTCTAGTTATACTACTGAAAAAACATACGTGCTAAAAAATACAGATACTATAAGTGCCATATTTCCATTGACAATACAGACCACAAACAAATTGGTTTTTTTCCACGCCCACTGGACCAATGCCGAGGAAAATACATCTTTAAGAATTCTTGGTACCTACTCCGGCTCTAAACAAAAACGAAATTTTTCTGACCGGGGAGCCGGTGACCGGGCCCTGGTAAGTTGTTCGAAATTATGTGTATACCTAATTTAATTATATTATGTGTAGCTAAACCATGTGCGTACCTTCGGGTTTATTTTCATAAACTTCACGAGAACTTGGCAGAGAAGTTCCGGTATATCGGCATCGTTGCCGGTACTACGGCGCGCTTAAAACTCTTAAAATTCAGGCAGTTATCTTAGTTTTGTAGGATTGTTTATTTAAGTTTGATATACAGCTGTATTTCGTGCAGATAAAAAAGTGCAAAAATTGTCGTGCAAAGGTCACGCACTTGGTGTTATTTATGCCAGTACATTCATTTCTATATCGAGAGCAGACAACCTGTTAAGAACGGCATGCAAATTACTCCGCTGATTACAGTTTGGGTAAATATACTTGGTTACCAGTTTAAATTATAATATACAAAATTGAGTATATGCAATAAACTTACGCGGAATCTGTGTCAGTGAAATCAGCGAGCACTTCCACCCACCATCCACCAACGGCTGCCTTGTTTTCGGCAGTGTTACCTCGCATCATAAAACGGAATCGCATAACGAAGTTGGCCATTGACTTTCTTTTCTCAGAGTTACCAACCCTTCGTATGACAAATGTTTCGTAGCGTCCATTAACTGTGGTTTCTGCGAATCTGATGTCGGGAACCTGCCATATTTCTGGTAGTTAAGTAAATGCGTTTCTATTAACCATCGTTACAAGGTGTTTAAACAAATCGCTGTCGAGCACGACACCTCAATATTTTGCCAGTATATTACCTGACTTAGCGTTTTCATAATATCTTGCACTAAGCTCTTTGTAAAACAAAAAACAGGACAAAATAAAAAGATGCGTCCTCATTTGACGTAATCTTTGCACATATTATTGTTATCAATCATCCTTATCTAATATCATTACCTGCACGTGCGGCTCCTGAATTCCACTTGCAGGAGTGTTTTTCCGCTTTTTTGGGAGAATGGAGGAAGCCATATTGAAAGAAATCACGTGAAAATCTATTAACTTAATGGTACTTCATTTTCGGAATCTTCGTCAACAGAATGATGAAGCACTGATTTCTGTTTCGTTGCACTAACTGAACCTGGAGGGCGGATAGAAAATCTTTATTGTTCTGAGAGCAGGTAGAAATGTGAATTGATGTGGGTTACTTCTGCCCCGGCAGTATGTAAGTTTCAAAAGGACACAGCTGAAAATCAACTGCCGAGTAGCACGACAAGAAGCTAAAAGTAGGCCGCAGCTTGCATTTAAATTCTGAAAGTCACTCTGATGGGCTTAACAAATGCCACATAGAAAACTATACGAGCACTATAATATTCACACTAATCAAAATAAGAACAGCCGAGCATGCAGGGAATAGCTAAGAATAGCCAAGAATAGCCGGGAATAGCAGAGAATAGCCGTGAATAGTGGAGAATAGCCGGGAATAGTGGAGAATAGCCGGGAATAGCGGAAAATAGTCAGAAATAGCGGAGGATAGCCGTGAATAGCGGAGAATAGCCGGGAATAGCGGAGAACAGCCGGGAATAGCGGAGAATAGCAGGGAATAACAAAGAATAGCCGGGAATAGCGGAGAATAGCCGGGAATAGTGGAGAATAGCCGGGAATAGCGGAGAATAGCAGGGAATAACAAAGAATAGCCGGGAATAGCGGAGAATAGCCGGGAATAGTGGAGAATAGCCGGGAATAGCGGAGAATAGCAGGGAATAACAAAGAATAGCCGGGAATAGTGGAGAATAGCCGGGAATAGCGGAGAATAGCAGGGAATAACAAAGAATAGCCGGGAATAGCGGAGAATAGCCGGGAATAGCGGAGAACAGCCGGGAATAGCGGAGAATAGCAGGGAATAACAAAGAATAGCCGGGAATAGCGGAGAATAGCCGGGAATAGTGGAGAATAGCCGGGAATAGCGGAAAATAGTCAGAAATAGCGGAGGATAGCCGTGAATAGCGGAGAATAGCCGGGAATAGCGGAGAACAGCCGGGAATAGCGGAGAATAGCAGGGAATAACAAAGAATAGCCGGGAATAGCGGAGAATAGCCGGGAATAGCAGAGAATAGCCGGGAATAGCAGAGAATAGTCAGAAATAGCGGAGAATAGTCAGAAATAGTGGAGAACAGCCGAGAATAGCCGCGAATAGCCGGGGATAGCAGGGTATAGCCGGGAATAGCGGGGAATAGCGAAAATAGCGGAGAATAGCCCGGAATAGCGGAGAATAGCCGTGAATAGTGGAGAATAGCCGGGAATAGCGGGGAATAGCGGGGAATAGCGGAAAATAGCGGAGAATAGCCCGGAATAGCGGAGAATAGCCGGAAATAGCTGAAATTAGCCGGGAAGGAAGTATCGCACCATTTTGTAGTTGCCGGCTTCATTTTTATCAACCTGTAACCTATTCTTTGCTATTCCAAAAGTTTTCCACGACGTGTGCCTACAGTGTTACCGCTGTATCTCTGTACTTGCGAACGGTAAAAGCCAAAATAGGGGTACGGGTAACCTTAATGTGCCTCGGATTGCGCCTGTTTATCACAGTACCGGAGTCGCTTGATGAGCTTGCACTACAGAATCGGGTGTGTGAAAAAGTCGCACACGTTGCTCAGTGCTCTGCGTAACATGTGTCATGTCCGGCATGCGACCAATGGTCGGATGTGGCAGTGGCATCAAAACCTCATCTATCTTTAACCGCTGAGTATGTTCCGTGTGTCGATACGATATACTTTGCTCACCAATGGTGAGCAAAGTATATCGTAAACGTTGCGCGGTAATCGCGGCGAAATTTTAAATATGGGGTACATGGTGAGTCACCATGTACACCATAATGATTATTATGTCTTCGCACACATATGGCCATAAATATCTTCACATGCATATGGTCATAGTAATACTCCTGCTAACGAGCATGCAGACCATGCACATTGGTAATTAATCAAACCACGATAGCCGCCGTCAACTTGTCAACACCACGGTCGTAACATAATGAAAACAATTCAATAGTATGAAGAAATAATTGCAGTATTTCTTTTAAGTATTTTTAACTAGAGCAGTGTGGCCAAACGTAACAATAGCTTATAATTATTATCACTGCGGTTATTTTAAACGTCCCGTTTCGGACAGAGTTAAAATCGCTGTCAAACTACTGTACTTCGCGTATAGGGCTTAATTAATACCACATTAATTACTGGATGTCTATGACATCTGCCAGTATTTCCGGTAAAGTACAAATCACCATCTGACAGGTGCGCCCTAGTCAGACTCAGCCCTTTAGGGATCAGACTCAGCGCCTCAGCGCGGGCCTCTTGATCCACGTGCATGATCGATAACAGGCTTAACAGCCCACTTCCGCGTAACCCACTTGTTAATGGGGTGGCTATTGCCAATAAATTGATTAGCAGAGTTGCCTGTTGAGCTCAGGGAGCGCAAACACTAATCAAACCGAAATTGTGCGTCTTTCGCCGTAAACAGATAGAAGAGCAGAATATGAAAAAGGATGGAGTTTTGCTGGGATTAAACAAACGCTTGTTATGAAAACTGCGCGGTACAGCGGTACAGAGTACAACAAAAAAAATCCTGGCTGGTTTGCAAATATTTGCCTCACCGACATTTTGTTGACTAACATTTCGTCGACCGGCACAAAGCTGACCGCACGACGACGACGGCCAACACCGCAGGTCAACGTAAAAACTTGAAAACATAAAACCAAAAAGAAGCCTAAGAAAACCTAAGAGTATGAGACCCAAGAAAGCATAATTACGAAAAACTAAGAAAACTAAGGCGGACTTAAATCTTAAGTTGTCGATATCGAGTTGTTCGACCTATTGTCAGTAAACGAATTTCCGTCGACGAAACAGCGGGTCATCAAAATATCAACAGCCTTGCGGATAGGTTAAAAGCTGTACGTTTGCAAGCACCTGGAACCGTATACACCGTGCTTGCAGTCACCCGTATTAATAAATGTTTATGCTACTAGTATATATGACGAAAAATTAAATACTGGCGCGGCCAAATCATGGAATGTGCAAGTGCCCAGCGAGCCTGACACACGCGTGGCATACGATTCGCAAATAGTCGCTTTAGTCGAAGATAATTTCAGCCGGATACGATATACTTTTCTGTTATACATCACTATATACTTATCCTGTCTATAAGATATATTTGCTAACGTAAAGACACAATGAAAATGTTGTTATCGCCGATAATCGCAGCTCCGGAATCCGACTATCGGCGACATCACTATTTTTCTTGTTAAGTCCGTTAATCATCGTCCCAACCTGCGAGATATTGAGTGCGTGATTATCAGCGGATTTCTGACCAACTACATACATAAGCTGATAACACAACTGTTTTCTGCTCCCATACACACACCAGGATTTAGTATATATAGGAAATATGTATCTTGAAATATATCAAATATCTTGATACGTGATATCAAGATATTTGATATCACGTATCAAGATATTTGATATATATCTTGATATATATCGAGATATATATCAAATATCTCGATATATATTAATATTATCTCAACAGAAAAGGAAAAATTAGATAATATGCCAATTTGAGTAGACAGAATGTAGAGAGCGATTTATATGCCCAGTTTTTTTATGTATATGTCGTCCAAGAAGATCGTGATGGTGATTGCGCGGTGGAAAAGAGCCTAATCCCAATCCATTCAACAACAATATCCCAATCGGAAAAACGTTTGTGAAAAACGCCATAATTATGGAATTGTTCATAAACATCTTCCGGATCTTGATTTTGGTTGTAAAATACCCAAACCAGTTAGCATTTAAAACGTCAGTAAACACATGATACTCTACTTTTAACCAAGCAATAAGCACCATCATTTAATCACTAGACAGATGAAACTGCTGCCGGACGAATGACTACCGCTAGTAATTAAGTAGTAATCTGGAAGCATTCTCGAGCATCCGATACGTTTGCTGAGCATTACGTGTACCATGCTTTGATCGTGTACGGGTAATTCTGTACAACCTTGCCCGTAATTTCTATCGTCAATATATAGCATGTATCTAGCAGAAAGTTGATCTATGGAAGAGCAAAGTTGCTTTATGAACATCAGTTAGTCCACTGCAACGACAAATTCACTCCTTTCAATACTCATGGTGACTAAGAAGGATAAAATTAAATTAATATTATATAGCTTATATGGCTAGCTCATAGTTTAGATCGATATTTGGCATGCATCAGCCATGCCGAATTCATGTAGAGCGTAAATAGTGCGACGCGGTGCTTACTGCGTAGTAGTATGAAATTTGGCTTAACCCGAGAATTTGTATTTGTCTCTGTGGTGATGAGATTGAATAACGGGACAAGTTTGTACAAATACACTTGGGGAAATACCCTTAACGCTGCAGACTGGTGCATGATTGAATTTCCTAGGCAAACAGCGTGAAATCAACCGTGCAGCTGTGGAGGAAAAGAGTAGGAGCAACAGCACTTGCAAAATTGTTTAATCCCAAAGAGAACACGCACCAGAAAGGATACACTGCAGACAGCGATATGGGTGCTTTCAACCAACGTTTGCTTTGCAACGGAACCGGCACGCGAGGTGGCAGCAGAGTAAGTTTAGTTAGCGGAATGTACGACCATGGTTGACAAAAGGGCAGCTTGTCCGGGCGGGTGCAATTTAACTGCTTTTTCTGACAGAAGTTCAGTTTAAAATCCAGATGTTCTCAGCTTTTGCGAGCGATTGATGGCAGAAAATTTAATAATTTTTTTGAGCATCGGTTGCACAGTCTCCCCATAGTCTCCCATCTATATTTGGTATACTGTATAAAAATAATGTTTGGTATTTTCAGTGCCAAGTTGCCAGCAACCAGTGTCATATCTCAAAAATGGTTTATGGCTCTAAATAAACTCAGTTACGTATAAATGCGATTCAGTTAATTTAATGCTCCGCGTATTTACAACCATGGTCGTACATTCATGTTTGTGCAAATGTCGGCTACGCCGTTGTGGATATGAGCATCACATTTCGCATTAGTCACAACATAGAGCACCTACGCTACGCTTTGGTCAAAAATCAACAAACAGTGGGCAAATGTATCGCTGTCATTGCGCACATATCGTCAGCAATAGCATTATGCTTTGTGTATAGTAAAGGTTTCTTAATTGTGAAGTTGTGATTGATAATGTGCAGAATGCAGATTTTGTTCCTTGTACTTAGTGTTGTACCTCGTATTACTAGTAATACCTGTACGTACGTTCTTGCATTTTTGTTGTTTAGTCTGCCAAAGCGCAGCGCCTGAGCTGCTAATAAAGTGGGTATTGCCGCTCAGTAAATACGTGACACTGTGTCTGAACTCAGCAGCACCGGTTTCCGCCATAAGCGTCAGAGCTTAGAAAGAAGCGTATCTCCGCCCTGCGGAAGTTTCTTGGATTCCTGTACCAGACACAGAAACATTCCGCGCTGCAACAGTATACTAAGGCCATGGCTATTTTGGCTTTAATGCTAAAATGGCATTTTCCGTAAAAACTCATACATACTAAATGAAGACTGCTCTATTAATTGGAAGAAAGTTCAAACCTATAACATCAGTAGACATCGAAATATGAATTTTTAAAGTATGCGACCTAAAGTGGTCGACACTGCATCTAATGACTGGCCCGGCTAACCATTACGTTAGTGATTGCAAGCTAGCGAAGATGTGATATAAAGTCAATGGAAGCATAAATTTGCAATATACATCTTTTGTCATGTCGAGCCATAAAACGTCGCTGGACATCGGTAGAATGAAAGCAAACACAGAAAGACAATAGGCTGTGATCAAACGCAGGTGTGGCTAAAGCGAACACTCGGCTGTCTGGATAGTCTATGTGGCCGGATACATGTGGTGAGTGGAATCAGCCAACATGTGCACAGGAGACATAAACTTGCATGAACTTTCGAAAGGTGCCGCTAAAAATGCAGCCAAACAACTTTGAAAATTAACTTCTAATTTCGGAGTTATAAAACTTTTTTGAAACTCAGGCAACAGATGCGAGAACATCTCAAAAGCTTAATTGCGAGAGCGAATTTAAAAATATTCGGTTTCACTGGAGTTATAACGATAACCAGCATTTGTAAAATCGTTTTTTAAAGGCGGCAAATTCAAAAATTTGTTTTTCGAAAAAAGCCCTCGCAAGGTGCAAGAGGACTATGTTCTGGATTTTGTGGTTGCTTACATGGAATTTTCCCACTAGCGTGTGTAGACTAGTTAGTTTTTTAGTGGAATTATCTTATTTCAAATTTTAAACTGCATCGTTTAAGTTGCGTTTGGGCTAGTTCATACTGATTTTTTCTTATTTTCCACTGGATACATATATAGACCTAAATGCTACGTACGTTTCGAAGCAAAAGGACAAACTGCTCACTTCGTAACGATTAAAGCCAAAATAGCCATGGCCTTAACCGCGCTATTTCAAGTGACAAAAACTTCTCTGCAAACTACAACTGATTACAAAGTTATTATTCTTAAACGAGCACATAGACGAGATAAAAAAAATCTATCACCTGGAAATGCCCGGTGCCGGGTGCGGAAATCTGTGTTACGAAAATGTCCGGAATACAAAAAGCGTCATGTACCTGTTTTTGGATGACGTCTACTTCGATCGGACAAGGTCGAACTTTAGGTCGTGGACATGAAAGAAGAAGAGATCAAATAGAGGACTTCAGGTACGATTCCCCCTGGGAAACAGAGCAACCTTTGTGCCGAAAAGCTTTCTACGTCCAACTATGTTTTTCATCCGTTTTCGCCGACTCAGTGTTATAAATACGGTAACCTTTAATAAGTATCATGGTACGAGTGCAAACTATGCACCAGAACAAAACGGCATTTGCAAAAGAAACACTTCCTCTATGCTATCCTGGTCGGGGATCGTACCCATTACACAAATCGCGTTTCCCCGTTGTATTTGCATAGATATTCGCTGTTTAAAAAACTCTTTCGCCCGCTTTTGACCAGTTGAAGCCGCAATACCGTTTCCAACCGTTTCCACTAGCTTTTTAGTACCGTCTCCAAAAGGTCCGTAAATTTCGAAGGCTGCGGCAACGAAATCGTATCTTGTTTGCATCCAAGCGTGTTTCGCTAGTTTCTTCCTTTCAGCGAGTTCGGCTGCTGCGCTGGCATTCACGGAAGTGCGGTCGATATACGAGGCTGCCAGCGTGTCCACGCAGGTAACATCCACTGCCAGCGGTTTTCCGCGCTTCCACGGAATGAGGGTGATCACATCCGGCCTCTTCTTATCTTTCAAGGATAAACCTTTTGGTTCCATTCTCGAAGGAAAGCCAGCTGATTTTAGGCCCCGGGTGAACTCCGCGCTGATTCCGTCGTGTCGTGGTAATCTTCCAGCAGACCGTTTACAGCGAAGTCCGTGCCGGCCGAACTCGTCGACCAGCCCACCACAAACGCGTACGTGTGGAGTGACGATCGGTGCTCCCAAACGCAGCGCGACACTTATGCGAAAAGCGTTGTCATCTAACAGATTACCAAGGCAAGCTGCCGGTAATGCATGGATCCACAAGCCTGCTTCCGGGACTGATACCGCCTTAAGATGCGCAACTTCCTCCTGTGAAGTCCGTAGTGCGGTCAGCCTTGAAAATGTCTGCAGTGTCGTGGGAGTGTCCCATGCTTTCTGGACGTGTCGGAAAACTTCCACCGGAAGTTCGTCAGTGTCTGCTTCCAACTTCCAGGCGCGCGTGACGGTAACGACATCCGTGGCCATCAGTGTCGGGCATAATCTGGAAATCGGTGGATGCAACGAGGAAGCCGATGCCAAGTAGGCAGAAGGAGCCAGCTTCTCAGTGCGTCTGATCCCCAAACCACCGAAACGAACGGGAAGGGAGGCCTGGAGCCACGTTGGGTGGTCCATCTTCACATTGGTGATGATCTCCGCCGTCTCGCGAAATACTTGGTCCAGCCTGTTCAACTCTTGTGGGAACATCCATGCGAGGGAGGTGCGCAATATGTGCACAATTTTTGGCACTCCAAGGCAGTTCTTCAACAGGAACAACGCTTGGTGTTTAGGGATAAGCTGCAAGCGGCTGCACATAATTCCCAACTGGCTGATCTTCTCGTTGATCATCGGGGTTACGGCGGCTGGTAAGAAAGGGTTCCGAGCAAATTCAGATTACCAGCCGTCACTACAGCTATTCCGGGGAATAATGTGGAGAAGTCGTTAGCGGCCGATGCACGCTGTGCTTCGGTGCCCCCGCACAGAAAAACTTCGCACTTCGCAATATTAACTTCCAGGCCGATCTTTTTAGCTTCTTCTATCAGCAGCAGGAAGTTACGGATTACTTCCGATGGTGATCTTCCTAGCGTCCCATCATCCATATACCACGCATTCAGGTAAGTGTTCAGTTTGTAGATGATGAACTGCAGTACCAAGCAAAACAAAACCGGTCCGAGAGGATCCCCTTGCTGTACGCCGGACTGCGAGGAAATGACTGTTTCTCCCAGTAACAGCGAAGAATGTGCACCGTAACATATTTTAATAAAGGCGTAATATTCCGGGATGACGTTATGCGTTCGAGAAACTTTTGATGCGCCAGTTTTCTAGTAGATCTCATAAAGAACAGCTTGTTTGGTATCAGAATTCTTGATATGTTTTCCTCATTCGTTCGAGATATCGGCCGATGGTTCGTCGGAAAATGCGTAAGGTCCAAGTGGTGATACCAGCCGACCGATGGCCAGTAACGGATCTGCCTCTTTGAACACAGAAAAGTCTTTGCTTGCGCGTTATTTTGTGGGTTGTTTGCGGGTCAGTGTTTGCGGAACCTTTTCAGCCTACGTTTTATGCTTTTTATGCAGACCTGCACCACAGAAGCACTGGTCGCAGAATCCGTAGGATCAAGTCGGTTAGATGGCGGTTTGGAGGCAATACCGCCAACTGTTTCGAGTGTACATGGAGTTAAAGGGCATCCACGTACTAATGCCGGCTGGCATACGATTTTAATGAAGTAATGGAACACTGAGAAATGCTCCGATTGGTGCATTGGCAGAAATGCGGTGCCAATAAATCTCTCATCTTATGAAAAGTTCGCGGAGTACTGGGCATTATTTAATACAAAGGGCATTCCAATAGGTTTTCATATTTTTATTTTCCTTAACAAGGGCATACACGCCTTTACAGGCTCGTCTTACAAATACGGCAGAAAATCGGTACGAAGCATTTTCGTTCCAACAGAGACACTCGATTTCGAGGAGTCTAGGCTATTTAATTCATTAAACAATTTCGCTGTTTTTAACGGCACTGAAATCATCTAGCAGACAAAAATAGTTTTCATATCAGCTGGAAAAGAAGTCATTTGGCGTCTCGTAATTGTTTTCTTGGAGCAGGGCACTCCATATTTCCGGTGCCGTCAAAAGGGCTACTATGAGCCAGCAAGGTGTTCTTTCTCCCTTATTGTTGTCGGTTGACGAACTTCCGCCTCTGTCGGGTCCCATCGCTGGCTGCTGCTTGCTGGCCTCCGCACGCATTGTCAGAACGTCGAGTAATGCGGCACTTTCGTCCGAAAACCGGACTCTAGTGCACGTCCGACCACTGGCTGCGTTACACGTCTGTGAGTTCTGTCGACAAGCTTGCGTGAACGACTTTTCGTTTCTTAAACCTGCATAGTATAAGTATACGAATGGATGCTAGTAGCGCATTCCAGCCCTCCCTGTATTTATTGTAGTCAGCCGGCGCAAGTAAGAAGTAGTGACTATACTGCTATTATGTGTTATTATGTGTAGTGACTGCTATTATGTGTTATAACCACGTTTCGTGTATATACTATACAGTCTTCAGAAAGTGCTCGGTCGTTTATTTCGTATGATCTTTCAGCAAAACCTGCGTACAGTACGACAGTTTTATGCGCTGCGCATACAAGTGTTCGCTGCATCCGGTATAACACAATACTGAGGTCAGTGGCCACACATTTCCATCCGCACTATACGATGTTTTACGTAGTTGCTGTTGGCTGCTCGCTTAAAGTGTTCACCGGCTTCTGAAACGAGCTTGCGGTACAGTGCTTGCTACGTGGTGTTAAGGAACGGAATTAGCCCGCAGGCTCCGCAGCCATGCGCGGCCCACGGTGATCTAGTTTGACTGCTATGTGATATGGCGAAACACGAGCTCGCACAACATACCAAGCAAGCCATCAACAAATTTCATCATACAGCCAAGCTTAACTGATTCTCGTTTCTAAAATAGTCAAGTGCATGATTACTGAGAGCTATAACTTTTTTGACTTTGTCTACGCTTTTCAAAAGCAGTATCGCAATTTAAATAGTGATACCAAAATTATAATCGTCCGCTTTATTGCTGCCATGGAGCCAAATGCAAACGCGCCCGCCCGGACAGTCGCTCCGCGTGTAGCACAATTCCAGATCGCTGTCAACGACGACAGCGAAGAACAACCTATAGGCCCAGCATGGCGGCTGTGTAAGCTGGCGAATCATTACGGAGACCGTCTCCTGGATGTCGTGCAAGGGAAAGCCAGAGACTTGCTGAAGAAACCTGACGTCAACCATGCGCAGCATCACATCGGAAATGATGTCATGCTGCCAGTGAAATGCGGCCTCTACGGAAGGCTTCCTCTTCGGTTTTTGAAACGTGCTGTTAATCGTAACTCGTCTTTCTGCCGACCGTTGTCTGATGATGCAAAGATGTCTCTTGAACGTGCTCTGTTTATCGTGCTCTGTTTATTTCCATACCCCGTGTGTGCGATCCTGCAAGGCACGTTGGCCACTTGGACCATCCGTATGATCACAACGGCATGTGAGTCCCTCGGGGCTTTATGACCTATAATAAGCCAACTGGCTTAATTTAAGGGGAAATGTTTCTGTTTCTCTTTTGACGTGTAAGTGAACGTTGTTCTGGAAGATATTAATGCTGTAGTCCCTTCCAGCCTTGCAGTCGGCTTATTATAGAATTACGTTAGCCTGATTTTGTTTACTGATTGTTTGGAATGATCGTCAGGTCATGATGACGGAAGCGGATATCTACGCTATAACAACGCCACCGTTACGATTCCAGAAGATAACTTCTCAGTAGAGCAGTGGATCGGGGCTGATAACAACGATTCGGTCACATACGTCTACTGGAATGCGGTGTCTGCCAACGATACGAAGGACACTGCCCTGCGGAAGCTCTGCTTTACGATTGCTTGCAGTGGCGTACCTGATTCAGGTTTGCTTCCAACTGCTCATTATTTTCACGTCTTCCACTGTAATGTTAATGCAAGCGCATGCTGATTTCCAGCCTTGGAACTCGTTGACATAAGCAACTGCCCGCGAACACAGGTTGAACGATGGCTATGGAGAACACCAGCCTATAGAAACGCCATTTGGGGTTTGTGGTCTTTTTGGGCTCAAGTTGTTGGAATGATTGGATCGTTAACATCGTTTGGCTTATTCTGGATCTCGATCGCGGTTGACAGATGGCTACGTATACGCATCGGTATCTTTATTTTCGGCATGATTGGGGTTTTTGTATGTCCGTTGTTGTATGGTGTCGGTTTCTGTTTATCTCTGGTTATCTTTTTCTTTGTAATAGCTGATTTCGCTCCTGTAGCGCATATTTTTTACGGCTTGTTGAGCTAACCCAAGCCGAAAACTTTCTGCATACAGCTGTCCTCACTCTTAATTCACGTTCACTTATTTAGTGGTTATGTTATTGTGAAGCAGGAAGCCAAGAACCTCACACCAATTATCTACCTTATACCAATGAAAATAGTTAATTTTGTACTTCTGTTCATTCTGGAACTCCTATTCCAGTGGTACTACTACAGTCTGCCACAACATAATCTATCAAATCATGTTTGTGTCGCCGCTAGCAAAAGCATCAGTAAGTAACACCGAAAGCGCTACTGTACGCGAGAACGGCAGTTATACGTAGCCTCGTTTTGTTAAAACTCGTTCCAAGTAAAACGCAAGCAGGAGTGGCTCATCACACCGCTGACTGGATGCGTGCCGTATTGACGCGGTGAAAGAAACTCGTTTGATCGTTAATTTTAACCCGTTGACGGGCATTGGCGTTCAGGAGGCGACAAGGTGTTTGGGATTTTTTCCCAGCGATCGCCAACAGTTATCCGTTATTCCATAACGTAATATGCAATAAGGGACTTTAAAGCAGCTATAAAAACATTATTCAATCTTGTGTCTCAAGTTATTTAAAAACTACAGGTGCGCAAAAGTCGACTTATTTCGACCTGTCTGAGCTCTCCGATGCCTTGGTGAATAACTTTCTAGTCGATGATTCGATAAATTTGAAATAAATCTGCAAGGTACAATTGATAAATTGCTTTATTCAGAAATGTCCGTCATGGCATCTGAAAGTCACACTGTACAAGGCCACTGTCCGTCAAAAACCCGTGTTGCTTGCTAAACGCCATTGCGCACGAAAGGTTTCGAAAACACGGGCGGGCGCACTTTCGACAGATTCTGTTTATTACGTAAACGGAATAAGTTACTGTCGCTTCGGACGCAAACCATGTGCCACGCGGTTCCGTTTATCGGAAGCTGGCGCAAACCGCTGTCGCTAATCAACACCCCGGGCGGTCGGCTTCCGGAAAACAGAACCTTTAGGGAACCGTCCTGACTACAGCAATTCTACTGCAACTGCAATAACACTGTGAAATGGCGGCACAGCACCGTGTGCTTTGCCGCGTTTGTACACATCGATGCATCGCTTGGGTAAGCTAAGGGAGAACGCTGCGCAGCTTTGAAGAAACATGTGTTCTGAGTTTTGATCAGTTTCGGGCCGTTGCAAACTACAGTATGCAACTGCAAGCGGGCACATTGATGATGTTGACCTTGGCGGCGGCATCACTATTACTTCCGACCGCTAGTGCGTTCTAAAAAGTGTTAGTAACCACTATTATCTGATTGGGCGCTAACGACCATTCCAGCTGGACCTTCCCCGCCGTTTTAGACACTGGCACCTGCGGTAACACCCGGGAAAAGCGCAGACACGGACAATGGGCGAGTATAAAAGCGACAGAAATGTAAGGCTGAAGGTCATAAATAATGCTTCGTGCAGTCTCATATGAGAGTATATTGATAGGTGTGGAAAGAAACATCCTTAGCATCGCCTATTTTCAGTATTCTATTTGTAGCAGTGGTCAAAACACATGAAAACGGCTTTTAGGCGTTTTTAATTTTTTGCTGACCAGTGGTCAGTTTGTTGACCACTTCTATACTTTTGTTTTAAAGTACTTCTTTTGTGCTATTCAATGAAGTTATTAGTTTTACGTAATTCCTGTTCGTCTAGTTATTACATAATTTAACGCTTTTATGCTGTAGACCGTCCATGGGCATTGGCGTTTAGCAGGCGACATAGTTACCACCGCTGACCTATGGTCAGTACAAGCTCACAAAAAATTCCCTTTCTTAATTGAATTTTTTCATCGGGAAATCCCGATTTTCAATAGGATACTCGCGCTCCTTCGGGTACCGCCCGCTGGAGTGTTAATTAAATTTCCGCATTTTACGTAACGATCAATGGAAGGCTAAAACGGCATCCCGGTATTTTGCCGAGGTCGATTCCCCGCAGGACATTTGGTAGCATACATCCCCCTTTACATCGCGGGACAATATGTCGGCAGGACATTCCGACGAAAGACATTTCGTCTCGAGAAAATGTTTTCGAACATACATTCCAGCCCTTCCGGCAAAACGATAACTAATCTTACCAAACCGGTAAAGTCGCAAAGGGAAGATGTCTCAGACCAATAGTTATGTCACAAAACCGAAATGTCCCTGCGTCCGTGTGTCCCGCGACGCTATGCTTTACTGTGAAAAGTCGCGCGTCCAGTTAGGGTGCCGCGAAATATCATACACCCAAACGTCCGGGTGCGAAGATGGACATAATAAAAAACAGTTAATAAAAGTAAAAGAATATAAAAACCATGAGAAACATTACTAAAACAAGAATTCGGAAAGAAAAGCAAAGCGACCGAAATGTTTAGGTGCCGAAACGAGCGTTGGTCGAATTAAAGGCTTGCCAAATTGATTAACACTTCGTCTACTAGCGCGGTTACTCACACCAGAAGTGACTTTATTAGTTCAGTAACAAATTTCAAAAAAATAATTTTTTAACAAAACTTTTTGGCTATGTGCATGAAAACGGGTCTAGTTTTTGATAGTGTTGTGTTTGACCTTCTCCGTGCTACCGGAAGTCAAGAATTGAGATGGTGTGAGTCACCATCCTTTTGGGACATGCGCATTCAACGGGCCTCACCGTCCTGCTGCGTGAATGAAAGGTTTCGAGAAAATCAGGCCTTGTACTAAACAGCATTCGTATGTAACTGGTAAATTTTCAGCGATATATGTTGTGCCGTTACCCAACAAAAAAACGGGAAGCATTGGGAAGTTTGAGAAGACTGCCCAATGATTCCCTTGCTCGACAAAAAGGCATACAAGGAAGACAACTAGAGCAGCCGAGAAGACGCAGCACAGGTGAGCATACCGCAAGCCGGTGCTCTCATATACGGTCGATCCGGGTCATCTGGGCTGATGAAAGAGATAGCACTGAAAGGAGGTCCTCCTTTCATCACAAGTAAATCTGGCGCACCTGTCTTACTCTGTTTCTTTTGTTTTCTCACTTCATGGAATTGGTCAAACATCCTTTAAACAAAAGGCACCATTGGGCAGAAAAAGTTAATGACCAATCGTGCTCTTCTGGTGGCTTACACCATGAAAGTAGACCTCGTTGCTCACAACTGCCAGTCGACGAAGTGTTAACAATGTTGCCCGTCGTGCTCAGATTCGCTGTTTCGTGACATCTCCTAATAGGTACAGATGTGAGCGTAACGCTTTTGTGTGGTAACCCGTTGGTAAGCAACTTTTAAGAAGTATGCGCAGTGCGTGTTAATACAATAACTGCGATTAACACTCGCCCTCGTCCATGTGCCCGATAGGCACATTTAATCATTCGGAAATTCATGGAACGTCACACTGACAATAGACGTTTCCTACTTACCCAAAATTTCTGAGATAATTTGGTTGCTTTTTACTTATTCAAAAAGTTAGTATGAAATGAAAAGTTTAAAACTACGATTTCCAAGCGCTTCCGGTTGGTGAACAAATGGCAATTCGGCAGTGTGGCAGCGAATTTTGGCTCAGGTGCGAATTTTTCTGCGAAGTAAGAATCACTTCTTTTCAGATTCAGTTTTCCGATTCAACAGCAACCCTTTCTACATGCGTGTTTAATGAAAACGAAAAACAACGTTTAGAAAACTTTTTGCTTGAATATGAGAACCACCTGATTGAATACACCCGATTTAGATGAACCCATTTGCCTGTGCGTGCCCGATTACGGTTTGCCACCTTCAATGTGAAACATCGGTTTCGAAAGCGGCGGCTTGTTCAGGCGGGTGCACTTACTGGTTTATATTACAATATTTGAATTTTATGGCTTAATGTTCCCAGTTCTGCAAACAAAGATTAAAATCGAAATTTTTGTCCTTTACGAATCACAAAAATTACTACTGTGCATAAAAATAATGAGCGCAAGACGCTCGTTGTGAACTCGTGATGATGTCTGCCAATACTGTATAATGTGATACTCTGGAAGAGTCCAGGACAGTGATCTAGACTGACAAGATCCTGCGTTGTGTGAAATGCTATCAATACGGGATAAATGCACAACGCACGGCATCCGCTAGCATGGACACACTTTATTGAGTGAAAAACCAAATCTCTACTCAACTCTCTGAACACTGGCAAATCTGCCAAGCGAAGAGCTAAATCAACGCTCTTCGCAGCGCACATAGGCGCGCCCACACAAGGCACATACAACCAATCAGAGGAGACACAACACTGACACGTCATCCGCTTAACGCCACAGGCGTGAGGGTGGACGTGAGTACAGCCATGGCTCACATGCCTCTGGGAGGGATGCCGAGCTCCGTTCGAGGCTGCATCCATCTCCGTGTCGAATCCGATCGTTTGGCGGACGGCCTGTGTGTGCTCATAAAAATGCTAATAAAAACATCATCTCTTTTAGTCCATTTATCACATCTAGTCTATACATAGACAATTTCCATTCCACGATGTGAAAATAAAGAGATCTGTATCAAAAATACTATAACATCAACAGTTATGAACAGATCAACAGAAGTATTAATCAAATCCGTAGACTAGGATCCTCCACTCATCTGGTCACAGGTATCCTGTCCACCGTTAGGAACTTTTTGGTCCAATTCCGCTCCATTGAGCAACGCCGCTCCGCTTGAGCACCTTGCTTTTATAGTGCGACTTTCATCACATCAGATCCGCTTGAGGATCAGGTGCGTATCATCGTACGACTTATGAATACTGCTTCATCTTTGGAATATTTGCGTATCTATTGTACGACTTCGGTCAGATGAGATCCGTATTGGTCATGGAGGGACGTCATGTAGACAAGCGAAGTTCGCTTCCTCCCTGGTGAGATCATCTTTTAGATGATTTCGGATGTGCGACATCGTAATAATTCATCTTCATCCTGGTCATGGAGGTACTTCAGTCGTTTTGATATCGACTTTCAAGCTCATTTCAGCTTGCCTCCCTGGTAAAGTTCATCTGTCGCACATCTCAACCTTGTTACAGAGAGCCGGCAAGTTATACCGTAGCAACTCCGTTTAAAGATCCGGCTAATTACCGTAGATTTCTCACACTTTAAGATGAGCTGAGTTGATGAACTGCAACAGAGCCGACTTTAAGCCGTAGCAACTCCTTTTCAA